CAGCAGTATTAATTATGTACTTAGCGAGTTAAGTTAATTAGTAATTTTTACTACTTAAGTTAAGTTAATTAAATACTACTAATTAAATTAACTATAGTAATCGAATTTAATAGGGTATATTTATATAAGTTAAATGATTTTATTAGCTTAGAAGGGTAGTTATAATACAGGGTTATTTTATTCTTACTTATATAAGAAGTTATATAAGAGAGAAGAGAAGGGGAAATATAAGCTATATTTAAACGCTTTATAAAATAAATAAATGTTTCTAAGCTAAGCTAGGAATTACGAATACTACTATAGAATTTACTACTAAGATCTACGATCTTCGAGGCGTATAAATTATTTAATTATCAAATTTAACTTGAATCGGATATCTCCTCATATGATTAATGCATAGTTCCTGCCAAGATCGATTCGATGTGCGCTGATTGGCTAAAAACTTTGCTAAGAAAGGAGATCTTGGAGATCTTTTCTTTTTGGTAACAAGTTCCTCGGCATGGACAATCCGTTTGGTCGATAAAAATCTATTTTGATTTATACGGGATTTTAGCGATGGGTTGGAAATCTATAAAACAGTTCGCAGACTGTTTTGCTTTTTATTTGAGTGAGTGAAGTGGTGTTTTCGCTTAGTTCGCGGAGAGTGATAGAGAGTCTTTCATTTTGTGTATTCTTTTTCTCATTTGCTTCTCCGCCACCTGGCATATTACCATGATGTCTTTCTACTTCTTTCGTTTAATCTTATCCTATTTCTTAATCTTTTTGACTGCTGAGGTACATGCCTTCCGACCTACTGAGAGAACGTTATGGTTTGACAAATCATGTTCGTCGACTGTGAAGAATACCGTGTGGAAAGATGTCCAAGACATGATACGAGTGTCAAACTTGACAACGCACCCCGATCCCAATTCCGATGCGGGAAGCCTTTTCCGTTATGTCTTCCGAGACAACAAGGAGAGCAGCTACAATTTCTTTGAAGGTTCGTTTTGATCAGCAAAATCGAATTTATGTCTCCCCCCTAACGACCCACAGAGTCAATCGGTGCCATCAACATCAACGTCGCCTCATCCAAAAAGCAAGCCAACACATTCATCTACTGCGACCAAGACAAACGCTGGCACAAACCCGGAAAAGAACCCCACTTCCTCGCAAAATGGTTCTTACGCAAAAAAAAGTCTAAGAAAGTCTCCCAGAAAGTCTGGTACGATGCCGAAAATCACATCTCGTGGGAGCCCTCATCACCTCTGGGTATTCAAGCACCGGCGTGCAGACCGGAAGCGAAATCAGGTGCGGCTGGGCAGACGCATTGTAATGTTGCTCACCACGGGAAGACGGGGGATTGTGCTATGTCCCTGTGTCCGACGCAGATTGACAGGGACCAAGTTGCGTTCTCGCAGACTCCCAAGGAGGAGAATTTGGCGGTGAAGCCGGGGCCGGGGGATATTAATCGGTATGCGTTTTTGAGTGAGACTCTTCTTCATGAGGTGAGTGTGCTATTGCTATTGAGATCTAGAAAGGAAAGAGCATTGCTGATAATGAGTTTTAAAGATTGCACATACACTCGAAAATGAGCATACCAATTCTCGATGTAAGGAGATCTCTTTCTCGATATTACACACGTTGCTAATCCATATATGCAGGGAAAGATGTCAAGGACGGGCATCGATGGAAGAATGTCGCTGACCCAACGAGAAAAGCGGTTATGGCGCAGTCGGATGCGGAGAACCTTGCGTATTGGGGTATGTATAAAATACTTAAAGAAGTAAATTTCACTTTGCTGATCAAGTGCAGGTCTAGGAAACTTGATACCCTAAAGATCTGGCTCCTGAAAGCAAGCAGAAACGCATGGTGGTATTGCGATTATAGTGGGTTGTAGATTTATATGAATGATATAGGATGTAGGGAATATTTATGACATATCTAATGTTTAAGGAGTTATTGATAATGAAAAAAAAATGTAAATATATGGCTTCTACGTGAGACAATTTGGGACTTGATTAACGCGGATCTATTTCTGCTACTGCCTTTCCTGAAGGGCGAACTATTCCCGTGCTTCCGCACATCTTGCAGCAATGTTGACACTACCGGTAACTGGACATAGTTTCGCGTGGTTCGCCTAGCAGAAAAGGGGGGCCGGCAAAGCTTATCATACTGCAACAGGTATCGCAGAACTATATATCTTGATATTGTCTCGCTAATATTAGGCAAAATGTACTTACCTGCTGGAGCTACATTTCGACCTCCCATTTCATCCCGCATTTGTCGCTGTACACAGTATACTTGATAAGGGGACGTAGCGTTTCATTTCTAATCGTCAAACATCGTATGGGAGGGAGGGTGAGAGGGGGGCAATAGTTATGCTCTGAGAGCATGAGAGCTCGGCAATGGCTCCTTCTCTCCTTCGTCTGGGCCCTGTTCTAGCTACACTAGGCAGGTTGTGCGATGTAGGTGATGGGCGATGGCAAGGCAGACTGGGTCGTTAAACAAGAGTACGGGGGAAGGAATGACCTCCATCTTAATGTGCTCCAATCAAAATGATATGATGCATACATAACTTTAGGTATGATTGCATATGGATCTAGAAGGGATTCGAGAGGGGCGGCCTGCCTTCTCTTCCCAACCTCTTCCGTACCTATTCTTAATCAATATTAGGTCGCACACTCGCATCCAATCTCGCTCTTATAATATCGTAGTCGTCCAGGGGTTGAAACGCTACCAGTAGTTCAACCACAACCACTCAGATTTCATTTCTAACGTCTCACCGCTTCCTGATTCGGCCGGCAAAAAGTAAATAAAGTCAAACTTACCACATGAGTTCTCCACCCCTGACTCCTAATCCCTCATGCCGTTTTGGGCAGGGAAGTACCCAAGAGTGGGTAGACCGTGGGGTTATGAACAAGACTAGACGCCGTCAGAACCCGATGTCACTCAGAATTCACCAAAATATGTTTAAATGACACCCCACATGAATAAGAAATGATTAGAACATGGATTTCATTCATACTTTCAATTCAAGTTTTCTTCTCTTTTTCACCTCCTCACAGATACTTAAATCATAAGATGGTAAGTAATTCGAGAGCATCTCCATTATTTTGTGTGTCCTACTAACGGTCAATAGAGCTCAGAAGTAAAAGCATCATTGCTGCATGGGGTGAAGGAGTTGAAGATTGTGTGCTATTCTGCTACCGAAAATAAGATGCATGTTAACAATTTCAAAGGAAACCCGTCCTCTTCCCTCTCCAGCAGCAACGGAAGTCCAAGTAGCTGTCCAAGCAACCGGACTTTGCGGTTCAGATCTCCACTATTACAACCACTACCGAAATGGCGATATCATCGTCCAAGAACCTCTGACGCTAGGTCACGAATCCTCAGGTGTAGTGACTGAAGTTGGATCCGCGGTTTCAGACCTCAAAGTTGGCGATAAAGTCGCTCTTGAAGTCGGTTTACCGTGTCTGGATTGTGAGTTGTGCAAGGAGGGACGGTACAACATTTGCAAAACCTTGAAATTCCGAAGTTCGGCAAAGTCATTTCCTCATTTTCAGGGAACTTTACAGGAGAGGATAAATCATCCCGCGGCCTACTGTTATAAGTAAGTCTTATCCAGCATGGTTACTAAAAAATACTGATCATGTAGACTGCCACCAACTGTCTCTTTAGAACAAGGTGCCATTCTTGAGCCCCTTGGCGTGGCAATCCATGGCGCAAGACGCGCAGCTCTCAAAGAAGGAAGTACAGTTCTGATCCTTGGAGCTGGCGCCGTTGGACTTCTGTGTGCTGCAATGAGCAAAGTAAATGGAGCGAAGAAAGTGATCATCGCAGACATCCAAGCAGAAAGAGTAGAATTTGCCGTGCAAAACAAATTTGCCGATGCGTCGATCGTGGTGCCGATGAAAAGACCTCAAGCGATCGAGGAAAAACTCGCTTTTGCAAAAGAGGTTGCCGAGCTCGTGAAAGCTCAAACTGAGAAGGGGGAGGTTGATGCGGTTTTCGAATGTACTGGGGTTGAATCTTGTTTACAGGCTGCTATCTATGTAAGTATTGTGCCCTTTACCGAGATATTCTACTTACACACACAGTCAACTCGACCAGGCGGACGGATTCTGCTCATTGGAATGGGAAGCCCTATCCAGACACTCCCCATTTCAGCAGCTGCACTTCGAGAAGTAGATCTTGTTGGTGTATTCCGTTACGCCGATACATATAAAGAGGCTATTGAGTTAGTCTCGAGTGGGAATTCTCTTTTTCCGGATTTGTCCAAGTTGATTACGCACAGATTCAAGGGCTTTGGTGAGATTCCTAATGCGTTTGCCATGGCGGGACGGGTGAAGGATGATGAGGGGAATTTGGTGTTGAAGGTGCTTATTGATACCGAGAAGAGGGAAAGTCATATCTAGACTTTTTTCTTTATTGCGCGAATTGATAATGAGGGTTGGTTTCTTCTAGATGTAGACCTAGTTGCTCTTGATCCAAGGAATTATTCACCGCCGAAATTACTATTCTTCTGAATGCTGGATCGCATCAGTTTGTCATCTTTCTGTTTACGGTAAACCAATTAATTGCCACTGATTACCCGTTATATAAATACTAGCTTGACACGGGCTTAGCTTCTTAGCATGGGCACCCAAAAGCATTTGCGATACTTTCTTTAGGAGGGAGGTCAGGATGCGGGGAAGTCGCGGCTTAAGCTGTGCAGCTTTGCTATCGGAAAGAATCAATATTTACTCATTTATACGAACTTTATAACACGGGAAAGGTTTCCACCCTACTTTGTACTTTCGTACACTCTTATAATACTTCAATGTCCCGGAACTCCTGTTTCGCTGCTCTCAACAACTTCTTGTCAACCAGGGCCATCAGACCTGTCACAGCCAGTGCCTTTCCAGCCTTCAACGCAGCGTCATGGGCTTTTTGCGTCCTTGCAGCTTTTGCAAACCCGGGGTTATGTGGTCCTTCTTCGCTTTCAATCTGAAATCCCAAACTCAAGCTTGGCATTGCATAGCTGAGGTTTCCCTGATCTGTACTCGCTTGCGTTGCCCCACGAATCAAATCCAATTCTGCTGTGGGAATTTCTTCCCCGAGTTTATTCATAGCAGCTCTACAAACTGCCCCAAGAGCTTTGTTGGGAACATGGTCATCATATCCCATCAGTATTGTCATCTTTAGCGTTGCCCCCGTCGCTCCAGCGCCAGCTTCAAAGCATTTGTCAACCTTCTGCTTCAATACCTCCAGTCTTGCTTTACTTAATGCTCTCACCACGAATATTCCCGCTGCATAGGCATGGATGATATTAGGAGCACTCCCACCATTCGTTATGTGACCTTGGATGATATCCCCAGGCTTGGTTTGCTGTCTGAGTACACTCAACGCATTGTAGGCCACAATCAAGGCGTCGAGGGCATTGATTCCTTCCCATGGACAAGCCGCTGCGTGTGCTTCTTTGCCAAAATATTCCACTTTAAAATTCACATACGCATTGGTCCCTACGAGGACCGAAGCAGGGACGGTCCCCGGGTGAGATATTAAGCTGATGTCGACTTTGTTTTCGGAATATGCTCCGGCCTCCAGAAGCTTGATTTTCCCACCACCACCTTCTTCGGCCGGTGTGCCAAACAGTATGACTTTTCCTGGAAGAGATAATGTGTCAATGGCTTTAGCAACCGCTAGAGAGGCGGCAACGCTGCAAATCGCGATCAAATTGTGCCCACAGGCATTTCCAATCCCTGTAAGAGCATCTTGATGTGGTCAGAAGATAGTCAATAAAGTGATATAAGCGAATCATACCGTATTCGGCATTGTAACTAATAACAGGACCTTCCTTTCCGCTATCGTATTCCGCAGTGAACGCTGTCGCGAATCCATATGCAGACGGGGTGACTTTCCACCCTTTTTGTGTTTTCATGAAATTGGTCAATGTTTCGTGTGCAATGAACTCTTTGTAGTTGAGTTCTGGATTGTCGTGAATCTTCAAGTTGATGGGGCGTAGAAGTTCACTGATTGAGTCGATGTAGTTGGAAGCAAATTCGAGAAATTCAATCTCAAGAAGTGGTATTAGTCCTTGCGTCCCTATATAGTCTTAAGGTCAGAAAAGCTACAGAAGAGATATGCTTATTAGATACTCACTAATGGGTGTATTGATAGGCCCGCTCATCAAACCCTCCCGATTGTCCAACAATTCGACACCATCACAGTCAGGAATAGGTGAGTGTATCTGCATTACCACGAGTATCTAACACCTTTCTCAGATGTATAGATTTGAAAGACCGCAATGTAGAGAAAGCTTAATCGTATCAATATGAGGCTGATTTAAGCTTGAAAGTGGGGTATTGGTTCTCCCTATCTGATCCCGGCAGGCGGGTTGCATACACGTGATTCACCCCCATTTTCGGTACCTTATCAAAATCCAATACCTATCAAGTCCACTTTGCGGGTAACAACGCCGATGATATCTGCGTTCGCTACGATAGCTCCATCGCGCGACACGAGATGCTCCGCAATCATGATTCCATACATAATGCCATGTCGTGCAACTATCGTCTCTCCTGCTTCTCGCCAATCCAGTTTTTTCTTCTTCAATTGATCGCAGAATGTCTTCTTCAATAGAAGCCGATGAAAGTATTGCTCCAGTACCTCTTCCCGAAGATGTATTCACCGAAAAGAAAGCCGCAAGAATAACAGATGAAGCTGGGGAGCTCGCAGTTGTAGCTCTCGCATCAGGAGATCCCGACGTAGAATTGTCAAGAAAGGTGCTGCGGAAAATCGACCTCTATCTTTTGCCATTTTTATGCGTAACTTACGGTAAATTCACGCTGGATGATTCTCAAAACTGAGTTAATATTCTGTAAGGCCTCCAATTCCTTGACAAAACATCCTTGGCATATTCTAGCGTCTTTGGTGTCATTCAAGATACGCATCTCGTGGACCAGGACTACTCCTGGGCTTCGTAGGTAGTCTCCATCTTCCACCATGTCGTTTCTTAATAGAACCTGCTAGCTCGATATTTTATTTCGGATACCTCATTGCCGAATATCCTGGTGTAGCACTGCTTCAACGTTTTCCAATTGCAAAATTTCTCGGCAGTAAGCTCTCTCCTTCACATTCAGGTCTCGTTCTATCTATAGATTCTCACAATCACTAGTAAATATCATCATATGGGCAGCAATATTAATGCTCACTGCTACTGCCTCTTCTTTTGCCAGTCTTGCCACACTTCGATTTCTTCTCGGAATATTTGAGTCCACGATCTCGCCTGGATTTGTCATCCTGACCAGCACTTGGTACACACGCCAGGAACAAGCCTCTCGATCCTCCCTCTGGATATCTTTCATGGGTCTTTTTGGAACTATTGGTGGTATTCTCACGTTTGGAATTGGTCACATCAATCACTCCCTCTCACCATGGAAGCTTATCTATCTCATCCTGGGTGCAGTTACCATTCTGTGGGGCATCCTGTTCTTGATTTTCGTACCAGATAATCCAGCAACCACAAGCTGGTTGACGGAAGAAGAGAGAATCGTTGCTCTGCAAAGGGTGATAGAGAACAAAACAGGCACAAAATCAAGAGCTTTCGTCAAATCACAAGCTTGGGAAGCAATCACGGACCCCAAAATACTACTTCTTGGCTTGATATCTTTCGTCAATGCTGTCGTGTCGGGAGGCCTATCGTTTGGTTCGTTGATCAGTAAGTCGATTTCTCGATGCTTTTTTTGTTCTTGTTATAGTCTCATGAGAGTCAGTAGCAGGTTGAACCCCGATTCATGGTTTACCCGTATATCATGGAACCTCTCGAAGGATATTTTGCTGATTTCGGTATATCGATGAATAGTTCAAGGATTTGGTTATACAGCTCTCCAAACGGCACTAATGAACATGCCTCTCTCCTTTCTACAATCAGTTTTCATGCTCCTAGCCGGCTATACGATGCATAAACTTTCCAACTCGCGTCTATATGTTGCTACGGTCGCAATGATTCTTCCCATCATAGGAACACTCCTCATCAATCAGCTAGCGACAGAGAATAAGTGGGGGCGTCTTGTCGGTCTCTGGCTACTGGCCAGTTACCCTACCGGATTCATGGTTCTCCTCTCGCTGCTTGCTTCTAACATCGCCGGCACCACGAAGAAGAGTACTGCCAGTGCTTTGGTCTTCATCATGTATTGTGCTGGACAAATTGTTGGTCCGCAGTGTTTTAAAGCGAGTGAGAAACCGGGGTACAGGGGAGGTATCATATCAATGCTCGTAGGGTTTACACTCAATGCTTTCTTCAATTTGATTTTGAGAGCTTTGTACGTATGGGAAAATAAGCGGCGAGAGAAAGAACTACAAGGATTGGGCGGAGAGAGGTTGGAGGATTTAAAGGAGGAAAGTAGAAGGCAAGGCTTTGAGGACCGAACGGATAAGGAGAACGTATGTCTTGCCCCTTGGAAAGATTGGTGCTGGAGCTAATGAGAACACAGGTATTCTTTCGATATGTCTTGTAGGTTGTGTGGGAACGCTTTGAACTATTACACCAATAGATGCTGGCGGTTTCAATTAAATATTTGCTCTGTCTTTCGAATTACGTCCTTGATTGCGAGAACAGTGACGGCTTGTCGACTAGCCGTGCAAAGTAGATTTCTGCCACCAATGACTTTTTCAGTTCCTCCAGTCGAACAAGACTGTGAGTGGAAAAACTTCTTAGGGTGTGTTGAAGAAGAAACCAGGACAAATCTTCCGTTTTTGTGGTGTTCTCTGTATTTGTATTCCTCATAGTCGACTTGATCATTTGCCAGGGATGAGCGAATTGTGGTGTATGATGAATGCGGGGGAACTCGCCTCTTCGATCATCTATCCCTACGACATAAGTATGGTTTACTCGTTTGGGTGAGCTGGTGACTACAAATTCATTATTGATCTCAATTCTAGGGGACTTAGCGTCAGAAATGGATTCTAGGTCATGCGTCCGCAAAAATTCGATCCACACAAATGCCGTTCACGGTCTCGACAATTGCGTGGCGTTTGGCCGGAGGATTTTCTCCACGACTAATCTCTTGCTCTATTTATCCAACGTGCGCTTCGATTAATTCCAGTGGTCTACGGAGAGTCTCTCCATTTTACCATGGTTTGGTTTCTGGTTCTCGGCAAAAGTCTTGGCCTCATTCGTGGAAGCATTTTCACTTGTAAATCGAAGCAGTCTTTTTCTTCCATGATCGCTTTCTCCTATGAACATGTCTCGAGACCAAATATAAAAGATCAAGGTTTCCATCATGTTTAGGACAAACCCAAAGTCAAAGAATCATTTCTGATCCTCAACAAAGATGAAGCTTTTAATTATCTCCTTGGCAATTTCTTTGTTTTCGCAATTATCATTCGCTTCCCCAACCCCTACTGAGAGGGAGGAGGCTGCGCGCGCCAAGCTTGTGAAGCGAGCAACAATCACTGATGCCGCTAACTTGGGATACGCAACTCAGAATGGAGGGTAATATTCCCTTTCTCATTTCAAGAAATTTGAGGATACTAATCTCCATATCAGAACTACCGGTGGTAAAGGTGGAACCGTCACAACTGTTTCTACATTAGCACAATTTTCCGCTGTGGCAGACAATTCCAAAAACAACGATGCGACCCCTCGGATCATTGTTGTCAAGGGAACAATTTCTGGTGCAACCCAAGTTCGTATTGGGTCTAATAAATCCATCATTGGTCTTCCTGGTGCCAGTATGATACCTCGCTCAACCATTTGCATACCCCCTTCGCTTATTTAAAATAGAATTTGAGGGCATTTCGTTATTCATTTGGAAGCAGAGCAATGTGATTGTTCGCAATATTATCAGTGCAAACGTCCTAGCGAGTTCCGGAGATGGCTTGACCATCCAAGCTTCAAACAATGTCTGGATTGATCATTGGTAAGAACTTTTGTTTGTTTCTCTGGCAGCAACTAACGACACAAGCGAATTCTATTCGGACTTGAATCACGACAAGGATTACTACGATGGCTTAGTCGACGTAAGCCACGAGTCTGAATGGGTCACGATCTCCAATCTGTACCTACACGACCATTACAAGGAAAGTTAATCAAAGGCTAAATCAACGACCTAAACCATCTGCTAACAAAACATTTGCAGGCGTCACTCATTGGCCACAGTGACAACAACCCAAAAGACGCTGGCCATCTTCACGTAACTCAAGCCTACAACTATTGGGAAAACATTGGCAGTAGAACCCCGAGTTTCAGATACGGAACCGGCCACATTTACAACTCATACTTCAAAAACATGAAGACTGGCATTGATACTCGCGACGGAGCTCAGATACTAATCCAAAGCAATGTTTTCCGAAATGTCACACAACCCATTGCTGCACTTTATTCTGATGTCACAGGGTATGGAGTTCCGCAAGAAGCCTTTGAAATTTCGAATCCCACTAACAGATTTGTAGATATGCAAATGTATTCGACGTGGATCTTGGAGGCGCGAGTAATACTGCACCTGTCGGGAAATTGACAGCTAGTAGCATGCCATACTCATACTCTCTACTTGGGTCAGGAAGTACAGTGAGCTCTGTCATGGGAACTGTTGGCGCTACTTTAACCTTTTGATTCTCCTGAGAGTGATCTATCATCTGTCGGGGGCGGGGGGTGTCAATTGACTAGTGCTCGATTTGGTCGGATTAGCATACAATCGAGATTTTGGAGAAGGGTTGAAACTCGGTAGTGACAATTTCATTTAGTGAATTGCCAGATGATTCCTGATTAAAACTACCGTGCAAAGAAAATAAAATGTCGCATGGTACACAAGGCGAGTTAAGAGCGTGTACGAGCTTACCTTTGTACAACCTAATAACGGTATCGGTGCTGTCATGCCATGAAGGAAAACTATAGAGCCCCCAAGCGTGGTGGAACGAGTCCGTTGTCTCTATTGTCTTCTCTACAACTAACTATGCCTCGTCTTCTCGGCGCATTTTGTGTTTGCTTATAGGCTCCCAGCTTACTGTACGAAGCAAATACTAAGATATTCGGCTATATAGTTCTCGTTGATTTCAGGGCTTATGAGCCACTCCAAATTACATCCAAGATTACTCGCCTGGCCGAACACATCCGCCCAGAAATGGAACGGAGAAATGGTCATCTCCTGAGTTTTTGTAAGAAGTTGTGGAGAAGGCTAGCTTTGCAAAAGAAAACAGCATGATGAAGCAGGGTGAGATGTTTGTCACTGTCCCTGAACTGACGTTTTTCTCAACGATAATTTTGAAATTTCACTAAAGGTGCATCTGAACAACTTTCGGCAAATGGAACCATATTCCATGGAATTCCAGGTGGAATATTCCATATGGAATGGAATCCTTCTATTGGCTAGGCTCTGGAATTCTAGAGGCTTTTTCTGACCAATCAAAACGCAAGGTTTAGGGTAGATTATAGTGGTTTTGAGTGAATATAATATAGCTATTATATACGGAAGATATCTAAGTGAATAGGAATACTAGTACGCGTACTGTAGGTACCTAAATAGTTACGTTTACTTCGCAATTGACTATAGGAGGACGAGGATTAGAGAATCTCTGTATCACGCTTCAAAAGCTAGAGTAGTTTGTAGGTGGGCTTTATATAACATGTCCGAGATGATAGTCTAAGGCAAAATGCGAGCTTCTTATTGGCCCACCGTAGCGGAGGGACTTTTTACCGGGTCATGTGACAAATTCCAACTGGAAATTCCATAAATTCCATGGAATATATACCTCTGGAATGGAATACTTCCAGCCGAATCCTAAAAGGAATGGAATTATTCCAAAGGGGGGGTCTGGAATGGAAAGGAACTCCAGATGCCGAACGTTGCATCTGAAGTCGGATGGATAGGGTGTAATGAGGAGAACTGGGACGAGGCCATTGAAGTTATTAAAGCTAAGTTGAAAGAGACAGCTGGATATAGCGCGTTGGAGGGAGGAAAGGCAAGTTTGTTGCTAATATTGCTATTGTAGCCAAGTCAGATGTTGACGGTATGGTCGCTTATTCTATAGAGATTAGGATATCGATATCAATAGTTCTTGGCTGTTTTAATCTCGAAAGAGAAAATACTTATTAGTCGTTATAATCCCGTAGTAGTAAGAGTTGAAGGAGGTAATTTAAGAAATTTTCTTTAAGATCCCAAGATTTCTGTAAGATATACTTTTCTTTATATACGTGTTCTCGCTTGTTCAAATAATAAAGTTCTAGGAAATTACTTCAGGGACAATCGTGAGTTATTCTACTGTGTTTTAGTTTCTAAAGATTTCGGAATAATAGAAATAGTCGAATATTTCATACAATAATATACGTTTTTAGACTTGTGAAATGCAAAAGCATTTCATTAGCCGAGAATGTAGTAGGAATTAAAGTATGAACAGTGGGCGAACGCCAAGCAGCCAAGGCGTCCCGAACCTTATTTCAGCACTGTACTTGAGTATTTCAGGTACAACACCATTACCATCACATCACACATACCTACCACAACAACGTCATCCATATTCCGAGGTTGAGATGGCTCAGGATGGCCGCGAAGGCCATCGTCATGGGCTCAATGAGGAAAACAACGACAATTCATTAGAACTGATCTCTGCGCTGCAAAGGACGTTGATTGAATTGTCGCAAAATCCGTACCCCCACGTTCCCAATCCCCCCGACTGCAAGAAACGGGCTTCCGTCGCACTGGTATTGCGCGTACGACCAAGCTTCCACCATCCAAGGCCAAGGGTGGATGCGGCGCAGAAACAAGATCAAGATGAGGATATAAACTCCCGCGAAACGGCACTGGAGCGCTTCTTCCAGCAGGATTGGGTCCGGCATGGGGACCCTGAAGCTATCTTCATTAAGAGAGCGTCGCGTGAAGGCGATCGCTGGACTGGCCATGTCGCTCTGCCTGGAGGGAAACGAGATGTAGAAGACGCGGATGATCAGGCGGTCGCTGTGCGAGAGACGCTGGAAGAAATCGGTTTAGATCTCAAGTCCCCTCATGCCTTGTTCGTGGGTAATCTTCCAGAGCGAGTTGTCAGCTACGCATGGGGGAAAGTACCGTATGTTGCTTCCCTACACCCTTACTCCCAATCTTCTTACCCCCTACTCTTACACTACTCGTACAGCCTTCGCAAACGAGAAAAACACTAGTACTAATACTGACACCAAGACTGATATTGACACTAATACTCACAGAATCATGGTCCTCTGCCCCTTCGTCTTTCTCTGGACTGAACCTGGTCTACCTCCACTACAATTGCAGCCGGCCGAAGTGGCTTCGACGCACTGGGTCTCTCTTCGAGTCCTGCTTTCCCCCCAGACGCGGACATTCGAATACGTTGACATATCCGACCGATTTGCGCGACGAGGAGGACCTTTGCTCAAGAAGATGCTACGCACTCTATTAGGGAAAATGCGCTTCTCAGCCATTCAACTCATCCCATCCGAGTCCTTATTTTGCAGCTCTACCGACGAGTTTCTGCCACCAGAAGGGGCTTCTGCGACAGTATCGTGGAGAGGTCGACTCTATAGCTGGACTCAGGGAGGGGAGACAAACGACTCAGCTGCAACGAGACCCCTATTGCTCTGGGGCTTGACTCTCAGCATGCTGGCCGATTTTCTGGATCAATTGCCGCCACATAACGCGGTTCAATTGTGGTCGTACCCAACTTTCACTACTTGGGACGTTCGTTGGGTGATAAACACCCTCACCCGATCTCTCAAGCGGAGAAACGAGACGAGACTGCAGCGTGATGGCATAAATCAGACTGCCGTTGATAGTGAGACCCAAGCCGTTGCCACAAGTGGTAACCCAAGGTTTCTTGGCGGATTGAGTGATGGGACGGAGCCCTCAACGCAAGGGAAGAATGCGTCAAGATCATATGCTGTGGGCATTATGCTTGAGGGGTATTATGATATGGCCAGAAAGGGGATTTGGGTTGCGGCAAGTGTCCGACTGATCTCAACAGCTGCCTTGACGATCTTGTTCATTCGGAGATTGAGAAATAGTTCAAACTAATGCATAGAGACACATGATATTTTCTTCACCTAATTGTTCGTCGTAACGGCTACCTACTGCTTTCTCTATGGCGTCTATATGATGTCTACGTGGCCTTTTTACGTTCAAGATCAAGGCCTCGGAGATTTTCATCGTTTACCTAAAGCTTATTGTTGTTATAATGTTTACAACAAATGGTATTACGGATACCACACCATCATTTACCAATTTGAATCAATAATTCATATTCCGTTATTTCCTTTTTCATTGAATGGTGCAAATCATGAGCGGTAACGTGGCAAATATATATACTCTTTTGAGTCATGTTTATACACTCTACCCGGTTCTCCCATGGTCAACTTTCATATTCCGAGAATTTTCAACCCTTCAAGCTCCACCCGATCGTCATCCCGCTGTGCGTACGTGGGTACCTGTACAGTGAGTGGATATATGGGTGGCCGGGATGCACCCACTTGGACCGTGAGTCTGACGTCCAAAAGTTAATTCCAACACCGGTTTTCTTCTCTGCGTGCACAAAGCATGATATAAGGTTGGAATGGCCATGTCGTCTTTTTCTGTACAGAAAATTCTCTGAATTTACAAGCAAAGTGGTTTCTTGAAATATCGTAAGTTCGTGGTGCTATGCAAGGTTCTGCTTTCTCGGAAGTGTCCAAGTGGATCTCACGCTTCTCTAATCTCCATTTTTAAATCTGGTTCGAGTTATGTTGAGGAAAAAATACGGATTTACCAGCGTTGGATCGGCCAGTATTTCTCACGACGGTCCTTTTTCGGACTCTTTATGATGGCGACAAAACAGGAGTGCAAGATTATGGGCCGCAATAGATACAACGAGTCGAAGGCGAAACAAAACTTGGGTAGTCCCCTTTTATTCTTCTCGCTTTCTTCAGCAACCTCATGTTTTGAGTACATCCATACCTAAACCCTATCACCATGGCACCAAACAATCTACCAACGGAAGCGAGCAATGAAACCCCCACCACCGAAGAGACGAAATTTTTGCCCTCCCCCGATCTTCCGCATACGAATCAAGAAGAGAATGTTGAAAAATCTAACATGAAGGGGAGGATTTGTGGTGGAACCTTTTTGAAAAGTCTTCATGACAGCGACTCTGACAGTTCGGATGGGGGCCTTTCAAAAGAGGTGGAAATTGATATGCCTTTGACCTTGACGCAGGTGGTAGAAAAAGATGGACAGGAGTATATACTACTAAGCTTCACCAACAACGATACAGAAGACCCTTTCAACTGGAGTTCTGCCAGAAAAGCATTCATCACCGGCCTTCTCTGTCTGATGACGCTCTCCATTGGACTCGCAACGACGGCATACAGCAGTGGGATTGGATCAATGGTTGAGGATCTCGGAGTCTCAAAAGAACTTGGACAATTGGGATTGTTTTGTTTCAACATTGCATGCGCCATTGCTCCTTTATTTCTTGCACCTTTCTGCGAACTTGTTGGTCGAAGGGTGGTATACATTGGAGCTTATGCTCTATTCATCATTGTCTTTATTGGATTGGCATTGGGAAGGAATATCGAAACCATACTCGTCATGAGAGTATTCCAAGGTCTGTTCGGTTGCGTTGGAACTATCCTTGTTGGTGGAACTTTCGCGGATATTTACCGCCCAGACGACCGAGCGGTCCCAATGGCTTGCTTTACCTATGTTGCGATCGTTGGAACGGTTGCAGCTCCTGTCTACGCAGGTTTCATTGATCAAGCCATCGGCTGGAGGTGGATAGAAGGAATCCAAGGACTCGCCAATGTTCCTTTACTCCTTGTAATCATGGTCGGACTGAAGGAAACCCGTGGCGGCGTCACACTTCATAAACGAGCCAAGGCTCTACGAGCTGCTACTGGAGACGATAGATACAAGGCAGAGATGGATCTCGAAGCCAAAGACCTCAAGACAATGCTTCACAACTCCTCTGTAAAGGCAGTTCATATGCTTGCCACCGAGCCCGTTGTCTTCGCATTCGGTCTTTGGATCGCCTTCGCCTGGCTCGTCACTTTCCTTTTCCTCTCGGTAATCCCCATCACCTTTGAAGAAAAAAGAGGATGGAACGAGGGCGTCGCCGGTCTTCCCTATATCTCGCTATGCATCGGTACAACAATCGGATTCCTCGCCAATTTCCTCCAAATCAAGAAGTACAACCAAATCATGCGCGCCAGGGACCGCAGAATCCTCCCCGAATCACGATTATATGGCGCCATGTTCGGAGCGGGGTTCTTGCCATTGGGACTCTTCATCTATAGCTTCACCCAGTACGGATACCTCCCCTGGATCGCGCCTACTATCACACTGGCACCCATTGCCATTGGCATATTTTTCATCTTCGAGAGCACGTATAGTTTCACCTCGGATTGCTACGGCAAGAACTCGTCGTCTGCGATTGCGGGACAGGGACTGATGCGGAATACTCTTGGCGGTGTGGCGCCTCTTTTTGCGTCGCAATTCTTTCATAATGTGGGGAGTCAGTGTGCGGGTCTGATACTGGCTATTTTTGGGACGCTGTTGAGTTTGATTCCTATTGTCATGTTTAAGTATGGGCCGGTGTTGAGGGAGCGATCGAAGTTGGCGAAGACGCAGATGGGTGGCGATGAGAAGAAGAAGACGGGGCTTCATACTGCGCCTTTTGCGTAGGTGGGTTTTTGGTGCTGTTTGATTGTGTATCTAGTAAATTTTCAGTTTAAAGATTTGTTGAGCAATAATGCATCGGCGTGTAGAAGTGTGTTGTTCTAAGTCTGTCCTTCGGTGCGTATATCCAGCTACTAGCTCCTGGCGCGAGCTCCTGACTAGCTGATTTGGATGAGTGATGCCCTCCGACCTATAAGAGACAAGACTGAGAGACACGGATCTGACCCACGATGCGTCGATGAGCTTCTGGTAACCTGAAAATGTCTTTTTTATTCTTTTCCTTTTTTTTTGAATTTGGGCTGAAGCCGCTAGGCTCTAACGAGGTTTTGATGTGGAAGATTGTAGTACAATCTATCACAGAAAGCGCCTTGAACATATCTCACATGCGGAAAGATCGAGACGCTGCTGAGAATTCTCGCTCGTGAGTATGAATCATTTCTACAGACAACATGGTGCAAGACCAAAAGAGACCAAGATTACAGATTCTTTCTTCTTCGATCCAAAGAAGTAGCCTATTCCTTGTATCTCTAAGTCCCTTATTCAACTAAGATCCAGTTACTTTTGCAGCACCGAGTTCGACACATGCATTATACCACTATTTGATAATACTGTTAGTTTTTCCTTATTTATTTAGATCGAATGGCTGGAAAGTGTATACCCTTTGACGATTAATCAACCTTCCATTACGTACTCAGACACTCTGCGGGTTTTCCCACCAACAATCCTGGCACGCAACACAAATGTCAAGAGTGCCAAACTCAAGGCGAAGCCTGCGAGCATACCACTACCAACTCTATTATTGAATCCCAATGATAGACAGCCCAATCAGCATCATCTCTTTTAATGCCAACACCACATCAGAAGCCATGGAAAACGCGCTAGAAATA